AGAGATATACAGCTTTATAAACTATGCTCACACAAACTCACACACATGTGCATCAGGCACACACAAAACAAGATTAAGATTTAATAAGCCAAAAGTAAAAATCGTACACATAGAGATCTACATCATTTGTACATATACACACCTATAGATTTGGTTCAAATTTGTATTAGTTTATCAAAATGGGCCGTATCTAACAAAATGAAATTTAATGTAGAGAAAAGTAAAGTCCTACACTTAGACAAGAAAAACCAAAAGTACACATATAGACTGGGTGAAACCAGACTCAATAGCAGGAACTGTCAGAGGGATCTTGACGTCTTAGTGGACAACCAGCTAAATAGGAGCCAGCAGTGTGCAGCAGCAGCCAAAAAAGCTAATGCAATCCTAAGTTGTATTAACAGAGGGATACAATCGAGATCAAGGGAAGTACTAATACCATTCTATAAAGCCTTAGTAAGACCACACCTAGAGTACTGCACCCAGTTTTGGTTACCACACTATAAAAAAGGATGTTGAGACTCTAGAAAGAGTGCAGAGAAGAGCAACCAGGATGATTAGGGGACTGGAGGCTGAAACATATGAAGAACGGTTACAGGAACAGCGTATGGCTAGTCTAGTGAAGAGAAGGACCAGGGGAGACAGGATAGTGGTCTTCTAATATTTGAGGGGCTGCCACAGAGAGCAGGAAGGGGGTCAAGCTATTTTCTAAAGCGCCTGTAGGCCAGACAAGGAATAATGGATGGAAACTGAACAAGGAGAGATTTAACCTGGAAATAAAGAGAAACTTTCTGACAGTGAGAACAATCAACCAATGGAACAGAAGTTGCCCTCGGAAGTTGTGGGAGCACCATCGCTTGAGACTTTCAAGAAGAGATTGGACTGCCATTTGTCAGAAATGGTGTAGGGTCTCCCGCTTGGGCGAGGGGTTGGACTAGATGACCTACAAGGTCCCTTCCAACTCTGATTATCTGTTATTATTAAAATATAAAATGCAAAGGTAAAAAAAAAATAATGGGAAATTAGGGGAAGGGAAAAGGGAAACGAAATGTCAGGTAAAAGAGGTAAAAGGGAAATAAAGGCATTGACTTCCAACTCTCTTTAACACAGTAGAAGGTAGCAACGTTAGAGCCTCAACTTTTACCCGTCAATCTATACTAGCCATTCCTATAACAACTGATCTAGCTAATCATCAAAAACAAACTCAAAATTTCATTATTATTTTTTTGTTCATCACAAGCACAACACTCATACTACAATGCAGTCCAATTGCCTCCCTTAATTCAGTGGGACACTGTCTCCCCGGGGGACGAATTTTCCCCTATTTCGAAGGCTCCATTCTGGTGCTTCTCAATGAGGCAGTTTCCGCAGAAGTCCTCTGAGCTGACTCACACTGGCGGTTGCAACACGAACCTCACAAAAGAGACTAGAATTCAATCTCCCCGGGCGAAGACTGCCGAAGGTTGGAGGTATATAGATTATGTAACCCAAATTGCTTCCAAACCCAACAGATGAGTTTCCCTCCGCCTGGAATATGGATGTCATTCTACCTATATTTATTTTTAATTGGACTTCCTTACTATAATTGGGATCTGAGTTGGTAAACAACCGTGTTCTCCTAGATTTTAACCAGCCTGCTGTTGTTTGGATGGTTTCTTGGGAGATTTCCAATTATGTGCCATCTGAAATCTGCCTCTCCATACAATCCCACTGTACAATATGGTCTTTATGAAGCATCCAGGAAGTTCTGGGTCTCAGCGTCGTTTTAGAAAGCATGGGTTGCCCCAGTGTACAGCTGGTCGTCCTAATTCATTTAGTGACTGTTCAAAGTTACAATGAGAAAAATATAATAAAAAGATAAAATACATGATCTTGCATATAACTATGGCAGTGAGGATTGCATTCACACAATGCTGGAAAAAGGATAGCCATACCATCAGAAGGTCTAGTAATTTAAAAGATTTTAGAAGGGGTGGAAATGGACAAACTCACCCTAGAGTTAAAAAGTAAAGAAGATTCGGAGTATTATGTGGTTTGGGAAAATTGGTATGAATGGAAAGATAATAGGAATAGGAATTGTAGAGATAAGAATAAGGTATAGAAATGTATATAAACAATTAGAAATGTATGGAAATGTGCCTCAGTACTGTTAAAATTATGCCTCAGTACTGTTAAAAACGATTGAGATGTGTAAAGAGAAAAAAGTGCAATAAAAATAATTTAATAAAAAAGTTACAATGAAAAAAGGGACTTATGGCCGGGTTTCACACTTATGACCATTGCAGCATCCCCGTGGTCACGTGATCAAAATTCACACAATTGGCAACAGACTTACACTTATGATGGATTGTAGTGTCCAAGATTCATTTGATCCCCTTTTGCAACCTTGTGACCAGGTCAATGGGGAAGCCAGATTCGCTTAACA